CACTTATGTAATTGTCGAGTCTAATTTTGTAATGTGTGACCTATTCCAGCCACGGCGGTGATGGTCCTGATTATTCCTGCGCAGAGCTTTCTCAACCTTACCTCCAGTTCTATACATCTACCTCACATACCCAAATGGTTGTATCGATTATTTTCTGTTTGGTTCTCCTAGTCTAGTTCAGTGGTAAAACATACATACTGAAGTAGCATGTTTTATTTTTCTATTGTTCGCATTTATCATCAGTGCATTGTCGCTTTCTGATTTTTGGGTCACGGCTATGCTGTGGCACAAGACCTCTCTGTTCCACCGTGATGCTGAACGCTCCCACCCAGTTCTGGTTTCTCAAACTTAGACCCTTTTTGGTCGACCCACTGAGGGCTATTTTCTCACATCCATTGTTTTCGTCCCTATAGTGGCCTCCGCACTGGATACTCACCTCAAATTACAGGACCTCTAGTTTCAGTGTGCCTCACCTCCATATTGCTGGCTGGTTTCAGCTAATTCATCTAAGGCACTCAATATAGCAAGCGTTCATTTTCAATCAAATTTTCAATCAAACCCCAATCCCGTTTGCGGCACCACATATGCTGTGGTGAACCCTTTAGTGGACAATTTTGTTTAATCTGTAGCACTAAGGTTTGTCATACTCTCAATTTCAAGCTTTCGGACAGGTTTCAGCATGCAGTGGTCCATTGCCGTTGTTCGCTGGCCATTGCGGATTGCAAGATGTCCTTCAGGGCAATAGTATGCTTGTCATTTTCTCCACGTCAGATGACTGACATATTCTTCCTCCTGTCCTCCGCTGACTCTAAAAATGTGTTTCCTAACGATACACTGTTTAAACAATGTGCACGCACGCTTGTCTCTCCCTTTCTGTTTTTTTCACTACACCGGTACAGCTATCTCACTGTGTGGTTATTTTTCCCCCTCTCTCTGTGCCCTCTCGCTATAACCATTCTTACCTTGTGCCTTATCTGGGCTTGCTGCCGGGTTCTGATGTTTATCTAATGTGGTTACGTCCATGTAAGTGTCTGCATTTTCTGCCTCGTTGTGCCCCCACGCGCCACGCCGCATCCGTTTCTCTCTGTAATGTGAGCGTCCATGTTCATAGCCGTCGTATGTTCTTCGTTTTCTGTTTATAACCGCATTCTTCGATTGTGTTTATTCCTTCCGTAGTCTGATATTATTTGTCTCCTACCCAGGATTTTTTTTTAAATTTTTTGGGGGATATCCATAGAAATAAGAGCAAGTCATTTGTTTCCTAATTGGGATTGGGGATTTCATGGTGTTTCGTACCTGTTCTGTCTATGCTGAGTGGCCGATATGCTTTCGCTTGCTCGGCTTAAGCAGCAGTAATTATCGTTGAAACGAAATAGCTTTTTTAGTCACGTCTCATCCAGATGATCTATATGCCATATTCCCCGTGTCATCAGTCACATTCCCCTTTTCTCCAAAGGGGAGCTTCCTTTAGCTTAATGATCGAAACGACTGCCCTTCTTGTACGCGGCTTTTCGGATGTCTGGTTAGCTCAGCTGGCTTTTCAGCACGTTCTGTCTACCATCACCACGAGGTGCTCCTGGGTCAAATTGGTTGAGTTAGGTACATACAATCTTACGCAGGCGTGTGTATCCGCGTTCAGTTACTTGACTGTTCATCATCGTCAAGTTACACAAGCCCTCGCGAGATCAAATCACTCACGAAACCATCATGTAATGTAGTGCTCATTTTCCGTTAAGACACCTCATTACATCCCCATATGGAGAAAATGTATCTCCAGAACCGAGTAAATTTGACTCTTGGTTCGCTAAACAGTCTTTTTACTCCTCATGAGTAATTTCACAACCGAACTGCGCTTTTCTGTTCTTCTGGGTCTAATAGTCGACGTCATTTTAAGTGGATGATATACCTTACTTCTTCAGCGCGCTCCTAACTAGAGTGGACTGGACTCTTAATTTGTCAACCCTAACGCGGCTTTTTTTTACTTTCTGTTTTTAAATTCTATTGGTAGAGTTTGTTGCGCTCATCCACTGCAGTGTTTGAATACTTGTGAGCTTCTCTTTTCCCCTCACACAGTGATGACCGGCGGTCTGTTGGCTCTCCTAGGTATGCATGGGCCCCAAACGCTGATCGAGATATCCCCAACTCGGAATCTATGACTTCTGTTCCATGTAAGTGAAGCATTATCTCTCTGGCGTTTTTTGAATTGATTTAGTTTTTGTGGATACCACGTGCACAAACCTCATGGTGATTGGAGACCAAGGATCCTGTGTAACCGGCCACTAGCTGCACTGTTGCACGATATCGATGGGGTTAACTTAGTCTGAGTTCAAAATGACCTGACCCAAGGCTGTCGTCTGATGGGATGCACACTTAGTGCTGGAATAATAGTGCGGGCTACACTGAATGGAACTTCGTTCCGCGAGGTACGAGCATACCAGTCACAGCAAGGGTGGCGAGACCCCGCAGTATGAGTACTCCTATTACTTTGTGATCTGAGGGTAAAGTCTTACTGTCCTCTGCAATGCCAGTGTGAGATCGGTAAGTTGCTTCTTGCAGGTGACTATCACGTCCAGATTTATCAGAGCAGCGATGCTGCCGTTCCCTGCAGGGAGACGGATTAGAAGTCGGCCCTGAAAATCACACATTTCAGTCGTTCAACCGTTGACCTCTGGAGAATTATCCAATACGGTCAAGTAACGAATAAACCTTGCCATGAACCCAATAGACTCCAAACCCACCTGATGTGTGCGGCAGCATCAGAAGTGTCTATGTCTTACTTCTTGCACTCTCGGTTTAGGCCACCTCTTACAACCGAGCACATACAGAAACTGTCGAGAAAACCTCGTCAGACCTTGTGGGCAAGATGTTTGAGTCAGGCTTCAAATGGGGGTACTTCAACTAAACCCTCTTCTTGACTTGATGCCATTGTAATGCAGGTAACATTAAATAACGAACTATTCCTCTTTACGGTTTGTTGTGTGCTTCATACCGGCAAACTGATAGTGCTACTGCAAAACTGCATGCATTTAAAGCCGAACCTTCTGACTGGATGAGCTGATTGAGGTGGTAAACAAATTTGTCTGAGTAGCTAAATCAGTCCCGGTGATCTTACTAAAGACTATATTTCCATCCGGGTCGTTAATCACGGAGCATCATTTATGGAGGAGGTCGAGCTTATACTGTTGTGGTGCCAGAAACCTGGACGCTGCCTCTTAACGACGTCAAAATACTTTCAGTATTTGACCATACGTGTCTTCGGAGCATTGGCTCTGTCTGGAACATGGGATCAGTAATGCACGTTGAGTGCTTTTCGGGCAAATACCTTGCACACAATCGGTGAATTGGCACACCATAAGTTACATTGACTTTGTTACACCATTCGGTCCACTTCTTCCGAGGGCCCTTCGCGTACAACCGCGCGGAGGGTTAAATCGAGCCAAGGGAGGGCTTACAATTGGCAACGAATTATGGAAGCCTCTACTAGCGTTGGAGACGATGGCCCAATCAGTTCGTTGACGTCGATTGTTTCTGTTTGTTCGGTACGGCAGTGAGATCTACGGAATGAAGGCGATAGCTTTGATGCGTAACCGCGATTGACTGTGTGGCTCAGCTGAATCTGCCAGGGTCTCTAGCCATAGGTTTCTCTCGTCCCCTGGTCCCCGACGGGACGTGACTGGGTTGACTGGTAGGGGCTTTGATAATTCGTTGCCAGGTCATGGACCGGTCTCCCCTGGGTCGTGTTTATTCGACAGAGGAACTGAAGTGGACAAGGAACGTTCGATACAAGACTGGGCGCAGGCAAATGACCTGGCATACGAACCACATAGCCTAACCAGCGCAACCTGTGGATGAGGCCAACTGATATATTGAGGGTAAGTAAACTTTCCAGAAAGCAGTGACCTACCTTAGCATTACCGCTCTGATGTTTTCCCCAAATCCGCGCAGTGCTTCGGAAACACCGACTGTCAAACACATACAATGTTCAAAGATCTCTCACCCTCTGCACACGAGCTACAGAGACTCTTCGCGGTTGATGAACTGAATGCTTTTGCATAAACTGTTGTGTTCCCGAAGGAGAGCGAATGGGCACGCGTGCCTCCCCCCCATAATGTCGTGATCAGAGTCCAATGGTATACTTCAAAATGAACGACAGTGTTCTATCGAAGCTCTCCACCGGTAACTGATTGCAACATGGTCCAGCCAAGTTCACAGTTGTTTGCGTCCAAGCCAAACAGTCTGAGTGCTTGTGCTGACAGTTTTTGCTGCCTAGGAACAAATGTGTAGCACATATTTGAAGAAGTCGCTCCCTGTTATCTGTAAAGCGAGCGACAACGCCGAATCGATCACCAATATGGATCTCTTCAGGACAGTCGACCAACCTGAGTTTTCATACCACATGCTGGAATCACGATATTTGTATTTCTTGCTGACCGAAGTGGCTGTGACAAATCAAGCTAGAAACTTTCTGTCTCAATGTATGAGATGTCGCCTGTCGAAGTGCATGATGACACGCAAACGAATACTGTTTTTCAGATGCTGAAATAACGACTATACAGTTTATCGGAACAGGGACTAGTAGTCGATTTCAAGGCTCCTACGAGGTCACTCGAGTTCAGACTTATTGTCCTAAAAGATTGATGTGCCCGAACTTGGACTGCCTTCACCCTCTTACAAAACGGCCATGACACTGGCAGTTTTTTCAGGCAATTCTGTATCTCTCGTTTCGCTGCATACATGGAGTTCGCAACACAGGATTTCCTTCTCCCTGTGCGAAACAGTGGCAACACATCTTAATGTGGGACTTTGGATGGTGAAAAGGCCGGTGCATACAGAACGTATTTATTCCATGTTATTTGATACGAGGAAGGTTGCTTCCTTCACTCAACTTCGAACCAGGCGATTCTCCAATAGCGTTTTATGACGTTCCGGTTATTTTTACTAAAGCTAATCTTCTAACTTCCCCCATTCCGTTGGCTACTAATTGCCCTTTTCCGTTTTAGTGCCAACCTCATCGAGTTAAAAGTCACAATCCATATACCTAGTCAACATGCCACCTACTTGGCCTCATTCATCCCGTCCCCGATTCACATGCGAATCTCGCGCACAGGCCCATCCAGTTATTTGTTGGCCCAATTCATTGGTCCGTCATTCCCAAACTTCTGTCTTCCGTCTTTTTGTTCTGTGTCGGCGTATCTGCTGGATACCTTCTCGCATCTTCGGAACCAGCCTGATCAACCTACTGGAGTGGTTGTCGCCTGCGCGTTTTGTGCGCGCATATTCTCCATCACAATCGATTTTCCCCCGATTTCTTAGTTAATTCATTCAGTCTTCTACCAATTTCCAGCAAAGGCCGTATGAATCAGAAATTCACGCGTAAATGCACTCACTTCCATTCGCCTTTCAAAACGCCATTTTCCCCACCCGTCTTTTAACACCTAGTTGTCCCACGTTCCTCCTGAGACCTGGCAAAATTCGGAGCATTTCATCCATAACAGCACGGAAATCTTACTTCTGTACACAAATCAGTATCTGCTTGGGCACAGATGTCTATCTCTATCGGCCATCCGTTTGATCGTCGTTTGTCACCTGGATCATTTCATCATTTGAGTTTCCCACTGCCGCCGCTCTGCTTTTGCTATCTATCCGTGACTTTGTTCGCGATACTTGATTTTTTCACCCTCATACCGAGCGTCATAGGGTGTTGGATTTCGTTTTGTTTCTTTTTTTGTTTGTTCGGGTATGGCTTCTCATAGTGCTGGGCCACACGCCAATTGGTTGTTTGCACCATCTGCCAGTTTGATCTGATATACGCATTAGTACCCGGTTGGTAACCAAGCTGCTGTTTCGCGCTGAACCTCTCAGGTTTCAGCCCATCACCATAGATTCATATCTCCTTTTGATATGCACACTTAGATCAATCAATCATCATGGTAACTGCCCTCTGCTTATAATCCACAGCCTTTGTTTTTTTTTCTTTTTGGCACCCACTCTCCTTGGGATGTTTCTCTCCATTCTGTATAGCTCTGTGTTAATTGATTGGCTAGAATCGAGATCTCGACTAGGGCATTGTTTTGTTTTGGTCGGCTTCATCTTCAGTAGTCGTTTGCATGCAGTATCCTTTTTGCTTTTTATCGTCATCATCGCTGCTGCGGACGTCGTAAGTACTCTGACCACTAGTATTTTTCCCACTATGCTCGGGAAAACTGCCCAGTGAATAAGTTGGAAGAAAAGTACATACCATTTTAAAACTGTTGACTAATATCATTAAGGTAAAAAGGATGAATTAAGGTAAAAGGCGGTCCAGCGTTCTCTCCGCGGAATCCATCTCCTAGTTGTCGCTAACTCCGAGAAAGTTTTCCTACTGTTCGGCCAGTTTACTTCATCACCAACACAATGTTTGAAGTGAAGGGATCAAAGAAACTCTAAAACACTAAGCTCACTTTAAGTAGACGAATATTACTACCCTTATCAATATTTCCGATCCTCACATCGCCCTTTCTCGGAGCAGGCATTTACGCGAGTATTTCTCTAGTGAATCGGTACTCTACTGTGCATCGCTGGCACATAAATCCTAAGTAACAACGTACGGTGCCAAATCGTTCAGATTGGGCTATTAACACCCACCACGGGTTGAACTGACCCTCCGTTTCTCAGGAAAGTCAAGATTTCATTTATCCAATTATCAACATTGTCCAAGCCATTCGAAACACTGTGCTTTTGATTCATTGTCATCAGAACAGTCAAACGGTATAAGTTGCGAACTGTTAGCATTTCAAATTGTTTCAGTCGGGCACGTAAAACGCTCAACATTGATGAGTAATGATTATGTTAATAACGACTCAAATACACATAAAGGCGCTACTCTGAAGCAGACCTGGCTTAGGTTCAGTTCCAAGGTAGTTGGGCATATGGAACCAACATATTGTCTGACTTACTCTTCTCATACACACCACTCCACGGAAAGCTATCAGTTTCGACTGCATGATGGTATGGTGCAAACGTGAACGCGATCAGCCGGTTGGTTTTTCTCATTGGTATGCTTTGCAACTGATGACCTCCAGTGATGTTGACCCGTGCTCCAAGACCTTTAGTAACTGGTTTGCCAAATATTCCAAGGTCATTTGAGAAAGAAGTCGATCTTTCTAAATAAATATCATTAGCAAGGGGAGATATAGCAATTTGGAACGGGATGGTCGCCTCAAAATGTAGTCCATCAATCCGTCGCATGTGAATGTACGAACCATCCGGGCCTTCTTTGTGGTGACCAATGTATTCTAGTGCAATACCATTCGATGCATACGAAGACGCCTGTTCAGTAATACGGCTATGGAAACCATTGCCAGGTATTTGACCGAACCAGGTAAGCCGCTGTCGGGGACTAACTTGTAAAGAGGTTTTTCAGATACTTCCTGGATCTGTCATGATTATGAGTAGTGTGTTGGGTGCTAAGAGTTGAGAGTTTTGGAATCAAATTTCTCCGGAGATCTGTGAAATGTACGCTGTTGTTGGTGAGGACAAACAAGGCTCAACCGCTTGGCTGTGGTCGTTTATTCCGGCATAGGCCCACTTCCCTTACGGGACTCATGTTAGTCGGTTACGGGCTACGCTAGCATGAAGCTCTATATTCCAGAAAGTCAACTCTTTACAGTCTCAAATGACCAACATAGTCTTGCCGTGAAATCCTTTGAAAATGTGGTAGACAGAGTCCCCGTTCTTAGCCTGTCTTGTTTGCTTAGCTCTGAAGTGCAAAGCCCCGAACCGACCGAAATGCATGCTATCTCCATGCCCCCCTAACCAAATTTCCGCAGATCCTAGATATAAAGTTTTTTTAGTGGATTCAACCAGTTGCTGACCTGCAGTCGCTTTGCTGTCGAATAATATGAGTGTTTCATCTGAGCTGGATCATCGATCCTTTGGCAGGATTTTTCTCAAAAGTCTACGTGCCTGCGGACTGGCTGATAGACCTCACCTGAGCATGGACCTTTTTAAGCAGCTTCTGCTTCGATCACAAATACCTTACCACTGGTGCATGATCAGAATGTGGTTTCATGCTTCAACACCCACCAGGTTAGTCCGAATGAGGACAAAAGGGCTTCTGTGGCTAGGGTTTTAGGACCCCTGATCACGTCTCCATTGTACATCTACGTTTCCAAACCCGCTAGCAATATTCTTAAACGGCACCCAAGAAGAACCTTAAACTGAATTCCCCCAAAGAAGTAGGACCCAGACCCCACTTGAAGTGGTGTTTTATTACTTTGTAGCCCACACTAGTTAACAGGACACCTCGTTCGAAGCTTAGCACTGATTCGGTCCGCTAGTTGGGTCAGGGTTCATTGCTCACCCTAAGACTCGATAACAATTGCAACGTGGTAGCTTGCCCGACGAGGCTTTTTTGTCGCAGGCTTAACGCTGCTCATAAGAAGCTTTTCTGAATTAAAGCTCTTACTGGTTTTAAGCATTCCTCCCAACGTAATCAACATGAGTTCGGATTTATCAAGGATCTCTTCTGTACAATAATCTCCAGTTTGTGAATCGGGCACAAGTAGAAACTGGCGATGTATCTAGAGCAGCTCACCTTACGTCTTCTTGAAATTCACATGAATTTTACTGTTTGTCGTTCACCCCATGGTGTACACTTGGTAAACTTAAGAGGTAAACGGAAATGCACGCAATGCGTTATTTTGTGAAGATACACTGGTTTATTTGCTATTTGGGTTAGTGCCAAAATGATACATAACTGGAGCTGACATTTGCTATATTCTTACGGTTAGTATGCTTCTTAAATGCCTTCTCATTCTTCAGAACGATATTCAGGGGATCGGTAGCAAATTTGATAAACCATTTGGTATCCCGTTACCAGTTTTGGGCTCATCCAATAGTCGTAGTCACCAGCATTCTATACATCTAGTGGAGATTCCGCGAATTATGCTGGTGGTGAATCAGGTGAATCTCTCGTCAGCCAATCAAGTGATGCTGTATAGGAGAGTGTACTTGTGTCTAACTTATTTCTCATCTGAACAGTGATTTGGACGTGTGTATAGGCAAACACCATCTCAATTGTAATGCTGACAATTATAAACTGCTAATCCACTGGGCTGATGTGCGGCGAATTAACTGAAGTTCTGGTCTACGAGCGTGAAAGACAGGCTTTCTTAGTAGCTCAGTTAACAGGGTACTTGTCCGGCAAGAAGGATGTCGGTGGTCCAAGTCCGTCTCTAGATGTCTAGGTTCATGCCGCGTGTACCTGGACTTTCCGGTTCGAGATCCGTCAGATCCGCTTTGCTTTCAACAAACAGTGTATTCGTTTGTTAATGAGAATTTGTTTCCCTTTAATTTGACTAAACCTCCGTAGCTAGGCCTACACACTCAAGCACTGGTGATGCTCTACCCGTTTGATGACGAAACGTTCGCAACGGGGCTGCGAATCTCAGCTATCCAACGAACAAATTTCCTGCCTAAAGCCCAGTCGGCACTGAATCATTTGCCACATTCATGGTTAAGGTTGTCGCACTCAGTAGCCTAGCCAACTAACCTAATTGATATTACCGCTCATAGATTCTGAATGCAAGGCGGTAAAACTAATAGGCATAAGTAGGCATGGAAAAGCAATCGCGAATTCCGGGCCAACCTTCACTGAGTTGCTAATTTTCGTTCCCCGACTTAATGGGAATCGGGTTTTACAACTGTGGGACCCAGGATTGTGGGCTGACCCCACCTTTGTTACCGACCCCTGTCTGAAACGACTTGGTTGAAAGATGATGGTAGATGAAGTGAGGCGTCTTCAGGTTTTCGACCACCGATGCCTCAGAAGCGTGGCTGGCTGGTTTCGGATGGCGTCAGCCTATCAGCAACGAGGCGATTAGAAAACGGGTATTTGGTTGTGCTGCAGGCACCTCAATCCGGGAAAACATCCAGCATCATCGACTACGATGGCTCGGTCA